CCCCCCCCGAAAAAAAAATTGTTATACCCCCAGTTCCTAAAAGGTATCAACTAAGGGAACTTAAATAGAGTTAAACAGACCCGGGTCAGCTAACAATAGTAAATAGTATACCTCGTGTACTACAACATGATGGATAGGGTCCATACAATGTAAATGAGATACATTAGTAGATGAAAAGATATCCGAACCCTAGACCCAAAAATCCCACTAATGATAAGACAAAGTAACTGGACCAAAATGAACAATGTTTCTAGACCCGTGGGTATAGGAGAGGTGGTATATAGCCTAGACTTGTGCGCCGTCAAAAAATGTGTTCTGTTTCGTTTCGGAATATCCGTTATTTCGTAATTCGTAACTGAACTCAATTCGGATTCGTACGAAATACGAATTTTCGTTAGTGGCGGTTATATTTTCATAACTTTACGAACATTCGTTATGATGAAGTTAAAAAGCAAAATACCTTTGTTAATATTGGAGTGGTAGTTGTTTTTTTATCCGAAATACGGATTCCGTTAACGGATTCCGTATTCCGAATTCCGTATTTCGGACTTTAAAAAAAACTACCATCAACTCCAATATAAATGTACTTTGCTTTTTACCTTCAATATAACGAATGTTCGTAATGGAACGAAAATACGTCAACCTAATTTCGTATTTCCTGCCTGTGTGTGTAATGCAACTCTCAGCAGCAGAAGAGAACCTCTGATTGGTCAACCAAAACGAAATACGAATTCCGTATTCCGAATTCCGTATTTCGGACTTTAAAAAAAACTACCATCAACTCCAATATAAATGTACTTTGCTTTTTACCTTCAATATAACGAATGTTCGTAATGGAACGAAAATACGTCAACCTAATTTCGTATTTCCTGCCTGTGTGTGTAACTGTGTATTGTAATGCATCAGCAGCAGCGGATCCGTATCTCGGATTAAAAAAAAATCTTGTCATGCTGTTCAACCTCATTTACAGGGGTAATATTAGTTCCTGTTTCAAAGAAATTCGGATCCGAAATTCGTTAACGGAATTTCGTATTTCGGATATAATTCGGAAACTGCCATTCGGATTTCGGATGCTCCGAAATTCGGAATTTCAGGAAAATTCGTAGGAATTTCAGGAAAATTCGTACGAATTTCGATATGTAACGAAACGAATCGCACATGTCTAGTATAGCCTGGATTCATCCATTAAGGTCCAGACAGGGACTGGTGGGCAACATTCCCCCACCCCCCATGTCCACTCATCGGGACATGAGCTGCTTCATCAGGAGCAGATAATATCAATTTGGCACACCGTTTCCTAGTTACACCTTTGATCCCGCTTCTAAGAATTTTCCTTGACTCGGGAATTTAGAAATGTTTACTGAGGATTAAATGACTGGGACACCAGAGGGCTGTCAGACGCACGGGGACAATCGGAGTGTTAAAAGATCATTCTTGTGAAAGATCGCTATGTAAAGGCTGCAGATTATGTGGATGGATGGGGGGTGGGGGGTAGCTGTACCCGCCCCCTCCCCCGTCCGTTCCGACAGTCAGCGCTGGCGGATTGGAGCGGGGAGGGGGGAATTCAGCCGTGACAGGATCGAGAGGTGAGCGAACACCGGTATGTGTTCCCTCACTTCCTGATCTGCTGAGCCGACCTGTGACAGTCTCATTGTCACAGGTCGGCTTGAACTATGAGGTGAGTGAAAAACACTCCCCTCATAGTTCTCCTTTAAAATTGCATTCAAGAACCTTAACTAGTAACAACAATGTATCTTATTTGTGTATCACTCGGCTGTAGATCCTCCAATCATCTCTGACACTGTCCTTCCTTCTGGAGGGGGGCTATGTCTGTTCCCCATGGTCCCTGTGTGTGTTGTAAAGTAGTCACTGCTCCAAGCTCACTCCCGGGATGGACTACAATCTCATTAAATATTAGTAAACTAAACATGAGATTGTAGTCCATCCCGGGAGTGAGCTTGGAGCGATGACTACTCTACAACACACACAGGGACCATGGGGAACAGACATAGCCCCCCTCCAGAAGGAAGGACAGTGTCAGAGATGATTGGAGGATCTACAGCCGAGTGACACACAAATAAGATACATTGTTGTTCAGAGTTCGGGGACCTGAATGCAATTTTAAGGTTTAACACCTGCGTTTAGTGTCACTTTAAGGACTAGCAGTCGCCTGAAAAAATGTAACTTGTCTGGTTGACTTTCCCCAAAGATCAGTTGTCCGGGGGGTGTCCACAGAAGTGCTCATAGACATATTATTGGATCCCCATTCAGCTGTGATGGGCACAGTGCCATTATCTGGAGCGCTCATACATGTTCAGGATCTACAACTTGCATCCTATAA